AGTATATAAATCAGGTTTGTACGTACTTTTTTTGTAATGATTAGGCTGAAGCCTGGGCCATTGGGGCTGAAGCAGATAGGCATTTGGAGACTTTTGTGAAGGACACTTTTTCAGTTGTGGCCTTGCGGCCGGGCTGTGAATCAAGACGCGCGAATCGGGGATGTGGCTTTTGAGAGCAGTCACTCTTGCCATTCACTCATAAACGCATCTACAATCTACAAGCAGCGCTAGCGCTAGTAGCTTACACATGGGCGGAGAGCGATCACAGACCGGCATTTGCACCTTGTGACCAAAAGAGTGAGGTCATGATGCGCCAGTGGGTATGCAGCTCAAAGCGATGACGCTTCGCAGTTCGGTGAGGGACGCGACATGAAGGGACCAATTGAGCTGGTGAAGAGCAAGGCCGCCACATGCAGCCAGTATACTCAACCAACCGAACGATCCCGCATCCTGACAATGGAGGGCCACCCAGAAGCGACCTCATGGAGGGCCCAGGTTGCGGGGTGTTTGGCTGAGTGCCAGGTGTTGGAGGTTTTGATCGTATCCTTTGGCTGTGTTACAGGAAGCCTGATGTTGCTCTATGGCAACAGTAGGTAATTAACCAGAAACCAGAATGTTGGTCACCAATCATCACGTTTGGAGTAATGGTCCTTTTGGTAGCTCTGAATGCCTCAGACTCAGACTCTTGCTTTAGATGCAAAGAACAAAGAACTATTTTTCAGCATGCTTGGACATTGCCAGTTGTACAGAGTTTACCCAATCACGACAAGGCAAAGCTTTGAAACATAACAAACATATAGTATCATTAATGATATAGTAAGATAAACTTTGATTCCATACTGTATTGCAAGTCCAGAAACTTTCGAGGTTCAACTCAAACCTTATTATTAGTGTAGTGATGTGAAGTGTTTCTTGGGAATTGGGTGCCGCATGCACTTCCAAGGAGAGCAGTAGCTGCAGAAGAGAAATGGTTGATCGATTGGTCGGAGCTCTCCTTCGAAACCAATCTGATTGGATGCTTGACATATCTTGACATGAATGCAATGCCGACTTTTCGTTCGAATCAATCGAACAAATCACACAACAGTTGTCCAAAGCTTCAGACTAACGACGGTGCGTTCTTTGGGGTGAAAGAGTGCGTACTCACTGAGATCGTGGCGAACGCAGCACTCAAACCCAAAGAAGCGAATGAATTCGTAGCTGGAAGCGGTGCCACACCTGACTGAATTGTCTCGACGTTTTTCTTTAATACCGAACCCCATACGGCTCATGTATTTTTGGACTTTTTGATCAGTGTGGTGCAAACGTGCCGAGGAAAGGGAGGCTTTGCGCTTGTCATGGAAGGGAATTATGGAGGTTCGGTGGTTCGAGTGTTTTGCTTGGATAGTGGCTTCCTGTCAGTATCGATTCATGGCAAGATCCAGCCAATTGTATTCTTCCAATGAGCTCTCATGGCGGCATGGCTACAGTTTTCGCTGTCATTTTGTGACATAGGACCTAGGACACATGTTGTCTAGCGACTTTAGTTTTACCGATAATCAGGGGAACCCATCTCAGAAGTTGGTTATGTAGCCGCATTCTCTGGATTGACAAAGATTTGATCTCCTCTACTCTGATTCATAGGAGAGGAGGTGAACAAAGATGTCTGCACAGTAGTGATATCAGGGCCATGCACAAGGGGGGACAGCAGGTGAACATCCCTGTTATGTCTTGTTACATCAGATTATGTGCAATGGGCTCCTTGAGCCGAGAAGATGTGGTTGTTGGTGTCCCAGCGACTTCTGTGTTGGTTTTCCCTTCAGTGTCATGGTCCAGTATTGTTCAGAGGCTCATCAAGCTTTTTTGGCAGGCATATTCAAAAATAGCAGATAACGACATGTAGCTATGAGCCGTTTAACCAACAGTTCCTGTCTTCCAGGTGCGAAGGTGGCTGTGAAGCTCCCGCAGCGAGATCAACTTACCACGTGGCCCGGAGATTTGCTGGAAAAGGGGATCCTTGGAAATGTAAAGTCCTTGGCGGGACAACCTTATGAATTTAATGCTGGTCCATTCTGCTAGAATCAGTGTGAGAGAGAGAGGGAGAGTGAGTGAGAGTAGGTGTACTGCATTTGATTGCAAGTGATTCAAGGTTCTACACTCGGGTTGAAGCTACCCAGACCTGGTACCATGCAATGAAGAAAACCGATGGCATGCACGGTGCACCGTTGGCTTTGCGCGTTTCCACTGACATGGGTGAAGGGTCAAAGATTTGCCTTATTTTGCCTTTCTGCAGCTCACCCAGCGTCCCATGTCCATTGGCATTTCTTGGATCGCACGTTGGTCATCGCAATACTTCACGTCCAGGGTCATCGGAAGCTTAACCCTTCAAGCCGATGAAAGAGACTGTCCTAGTTTCTGAGAAAAGACCTGAAATGCAGGGTCTTTTTTGCACCCAAATCCTGAGGTCTGTGGAAGTGGTGGACTTTTGTGGGAAGGAGCTTCGCGTTTTGCGCCGTTTGAGACATCCGTACCTTTGACCTGCAAAAAGGCCAAGAAGGGGGGCAAGTCATGCTGGCAAAGCATTTGGTTGACCAATTTCCCCGATATTCACCTAACCGAACCTATATGCTTCACACTTTTGAGACACTCCTGCAAGAGTGGAACTAACTGCACGTCACCGTGCTGTAGGGTAAAGCAGTCGTGCTCAAGCTCATTTTGTAGGGTTTTGCCATTTGCGACATCAAAAACTCCCTTTGGCTGAGGTTTATTGTGACCTTCTACGGTGCTTGCATCGAAGAAACCAACCGGATCGTGCTCATCGTTGAGGAAGTCTTGCTCAACCTCTGTCAGTTGTCATTTAGGGTGAGGCATAGGCTCCTCACGTGAATAGCGAAAACATGACTCAGCTCTTGCCGGGGAGCTTCAGATTTCATGTTCCTCAACATGATTGAATTTGCACGCGACTATGGCTATGTATGCACAATATACTTGCTGCACCCAGGCCATCCCTGCTCCACAAGTCATAGGCCCATTGATGTGCATGGTCGTGTAAATTCAACCGTTGTTGACTAGCAAGCCACCTTGACATGTGTCCTGTATGTTGGGACTTCAGCGCGCAAGTGTGGTCTAATCACCCCATGCTTTTGCATTTCTGTGATATGCACACCTAGCCTGCAGAACAATCCGTTTGGCGCCAGGAATTTGTGGATGGCTACAGCCTGTTTGAGCTTTGGATGTCATTTGCCGGGCCAGGGCGCTACCAATTCTTAGAATGATTGTCCTGTTTTTGGAGTGGGGTCCTTGGGGCTTGCGGCCCTTCTTTGTGGACTAAAGCAAGCTAGGGCGAGCTGTGTCCCCAATTTCGACCTTCATGATGATGAAGGCGATCCCCCGGAAATTATTCACCTGCTTTAGACCTGAGGATGCAATTCTCAACAGCAAGATGGAGTGTCTCAGCAGCAATGTTTTCAGCCATGCTGAGTGAGCAATGATTTGTTAGTGGCTGTCCACTACACCGGGACTTTGGAGGATAGCAACCTGCCAGAAACTGAAATACTGACCGTTGCAAATCTACAGAACGTGCCTATATCATCCCGATGCAAGCATGTGACTGCGTCCATGGGACTGAAAAAGATGTATATACACATCACAAACCAAATCTGCAGAGGATAACAAACTGTCCAACTGGTGTGATGCATCCGCAAGAGTTTAAACTTCGCACGCATTCCATTCTGGGAGCTTTGCCACTGAGGCTGTCAGAAGCAAATCGTCGTAGCATTTTGGAGAATCTGGGATTGATTCCAGGAGTTGTCCTAGGCTTAGGCAGGAATTCACATCAGGAGAAAGCAGCTACACCCTGTTTCTTTGCGAGGCGGCACCATACTCAATTATACAGACTGCCTGGAGCAAGTTGGCAACTGGCTACCCAGTGAGTGCTAGTGGTGTTGCAGGTCCCTGTTCATTGCATTGAACATCCACTTCTTAGATTCTAGCATACCACTTGCTGGCAAGTCAGACTCTGGATTGCCACACTCCGCAGCAGAAATCACAGAACCCTGATGTGTCGCAGCAGAAGCTCTTTGTTTGGTTGCTGTAAGTTGTGCGGTTCCAAACCAGCTTTCCCCAGCGGAATTCTCTTGGGTGGAATGTAATGGAGGTTCGAAGACACGCAGATTGACATTTTGAGAAGCTATTTCTGATTGCCTGAGCTGTTCTATGCTTTGTTGGCCATGGGGTTGTCGTGAAGAAGGACAACAGTCAGCTGAAATCCAAACAGGTTTTTGTAGAGTGAAAGGAAGGCCTTTGAAGGACCTGCAATTTATATATAATGATATATTATGTATATATATATACATATCATCATATATCCAGAGTATTCTAGAACCATCTAGAATCCCAATTCGCTTCGTAGAGTCAGCACTGAAGGATTCCCAAATTGGATGCCCCTATGTATTTCAGTCCCTATATGTCCTGGTGGTCTTGTCCTTTTGAGGGATACTACACTCTGAACGGTTATGCAACTGCGAATTACAACAACCCACACCCCGGTGTGTCAAACATGTCAATGTCAACGAAGGATAGACATGACTTCCTTCAACCTGTAGCTGTGAGTATGTACCACAAATACCGAACAAATTGTTACCGTAACTATTTATCGAAATGACTTAGTGCAGTAGTTCGGTTCACACTTGGGGTTGCCGAAGAACTCAACTTTTTGCATGCACAACTATTGCAAGGAAACCCATCAAGTGACCATTTGGGGCAGTATGACTACCCTCAAAGTAGTAGGAGTTGATACAATCACTGCAATAGCCCAATGGTTTATTCACTCTGGTTTTCGTGCCGTGAGAGATGATGTCTCAGGCACTGACTCGCTGACATATCAACAAGATAACACTGGCAAATCTGCGAACACCCCTCGAGGGGTCTTTGGTATCAATTTGTAACATATGCATTTTTTGTAACACGTGCGTTTTTACTGTTACTGCCCAGAAGCCGACTTGCCTCGAATACACCGGCAAATGGTGTTCCCATTCTCGACGAAGCCACACTTAAGGAAGCTTTGCAGAGCTCTGGTCTACTTGCATGATCAGGTGCTCCGGACCTACAACATTCTCACCGAGTCTTCTGCCAAACGTCCACATTTCTACTAAGCCTGCCGCTCTCAAATCGCGTGGGTCCTGCGTCCTCACGCAAATACATGCTAAAGCAGGATCGCGCCCAGGTGATCATTGAGTTGTTTTCGCTATCGCCGCTGTTAGCGACCCCAGAGGAAATCGCGATTTTATGGTGCTGTCAGGTTGATGCTTCCTTGTTGATGTGGGGTGGGGTGGGGTGGGGCATGTTATCGTTCACTTGCACTTGCGTCACGAAGTTGATGCTTCGTGGTAGATGTGGGGTG